TTCTGCCAGGACAGCCCACCCAGCCCTTCCAGCGGGAGTGCAACTCTGCTCTTCGCAGTGGGAATCCCCACAGACTCTCTGCGGAGTGTTCCTCCTCAGAGGATCATCCCTCACTTCCTCAGCACTCTCTGGCCCTCTGGCTCCAGCTGTCCATCATGGAGATGTCAATGGGGAACCCCCCTCCAGCCTCCTGCCCCTAACTCTGACTTTGGGAGGTCAGCTGGGAAACCCCTCTTGCTGCTCTCCTGCCTTCACCCTTCCCCCAGGAACCACCTACAACTTCTTTCAGGGACCTCCTATGGTATCCTGGTCTCTGGAAGTTATCACCAGCCCATCTCTCATGCCCAGGCAGCTCTCACCTGCCCTTTTCCTGACAGACCCTCCATAGTCACCGGCCTCTCCCCATTTATGTGGCCCAGATGCCTTCTTTTAATCTCAATTAGGCAGCGGCTGATGAGTTACAGGTACACTGGCCTCTTCCTTAAAGGGCCAGTGTGACCCTGTGACACCCCTCGCCCCCTCATTTTTTCCCTATAAGCAAAGGAATCAAAAGATTCTTTAGCTGAATTTCATGGTGAGGAGTGGAGGCAGATTCGCCACTATGAAATTTGGGTAGAACTCTGTTTACTGTAGGTGAAGTAAAACACAGCCTCCAGGAACTGTAGAACTATTTGGCTATAACTGGAGTCACTGAAAGATATAGGATTTATTTGTCCTAGTTTTGGGAAGACTGCTGCAGTTATTTTTGTTGACTGTATTTTTTTTTTAAATATATGGCAAAGTTGCTTGCAGCCTTGGCTAGCTGATTTTTTTGTCTATGTGACGATTCCTCCATCATCTTTGCATGGATTGAACCAAGGATCTTCAGTACCAAGTGTGTTATTCTCCGTATTAATACAAGGAGGCCTTGTGAGAAACAAATATGTCCCCTTTTTTATAATTGCACATCTGACAGCACATAGAGCCTATTCCTGGCTGCACTGTTCCTATCAGCATTCAGAACCCTACATTGCCATGTGATGAGTGACCCTTACCTGAGAACATCTGCTGCTCCACACACTTAGGACCTGATCCAAAGTTCATTAAGGTCTGTGGAAAGATTAAAATTAATGGGTGTTAGGTGTCTAAATTACTTTGAACAATTTGGCCCTAACTCTCTTAGCAACGGTCTATAATAGGCTCTTCTCCTCTTATATGGCCCCTACAACTAGAAGAGAGACGTAGCACATGCCAGAGCAGTGGGTGATATTTACATCTAAATTAATTAATTAACAATAAATAAAAAACCACAGCCCAGCACGGCACTGAAACACCTGCCTTGTTATGACAAAAGAGTTTGCACATGGATGCATCTGTATGAAGAAAATATTGCCAAGCAAATGACAAGATACAGCATCATGCTTTGTTTTTATTTCCCTTCCAGCTCCTGTTTGTAGCTCAGGCCCCAACTTCCAGTCAGCTTGGCCTTGAAGTTTATACTGGCATTTCTGCCCAAGCAGCTTCCTGTATTCCTGCAAAGCATGTCTGTTCATGCTGGCAATGTTTGCTCACCACTAAAAACATGTGGAGACCCTTCGATGAGAGCAGTTACTCAAGTGTAAATTTCTAATGGTATGGGGCTAAATTCTACCTTTCCTCCTGCTGAGGAATACCTCACTTCCAAAGCAACTTCTCTGCAATTGGTGGACCTGATACTGCCATCCTTACATTCATTGAGCCATAGATTCTAATGCCAGAAGGGACCACTGATCATCTAGTCTAACTTCCTGTACAAAAGGACTTCCCCGAAATAGTTTCTGTTTGAACTAGAGCAGATCCTTTAGAACAATGGTCCCCAACCCTAGGGTAACACAAAGGAACTTTTGGGGGTTACTCCCTCTCTGTTCCCCCCGGAGGCTGGCCCGGGCGCCAACTGTGCCCCCTCCCTTCTGGCATTAGAATCTATGGCTCGATGAACGTACGGATGGAAGAATCAGGTCCACCGATTGCATCAGGTCCACCAATTGCAGAGAAGTTGCTTTGGAAGTGAGGTATTCCTCAGCATGAGGAAAGGTAGCAGAATTTAGCCCCATACCATTAGAAATTTACACTTGAGTAACTGCTCTCATCGGAGGGTCTCCACATGGTTTTCAGTGGTGAGCAAACATTGCCAGCATGAACAGACATGCTTTGCAGGAATACAGGAAGCTGTGGGCCCTGGCTGCCAGCCCCATGCCCGAGGATCTGGCTGTCGTTCTTATGGTTGGGGCTTTGCTTCCAGCCATGGTTGCCGGGACCATGCCTGGCAATCTGGCTACCGGCCCTATGCCTGGGGATCTGCTCCCGGCCGCAGCTGCCAGCCCCGCCCTTGGGGCTCCAGCTGCTGGACAAGGCCCCTGGCTGAGACTCTGTTCCCGCCCGCACTCCCAGATGTGGCCCCAGCCTCGGCCCCCTTACCTGGTCACATCCCCCCTTCCAAGAGCTGTGGCGCCATGCCTGGCCCTGTTCCGGCTCTGGGAAGTGAGGAGCATGGACATGGGTAAGGGGGAGCGTGAGGTAAAAAGTTTTTACCCGCTTTAGAACATCATCCAATCTTGATTTTAAAATTGCCAGTGATGGAGAATCCACCACATCCCTTGGTAAATTGTTCTAATGGATTATTACCCTCACGACATTGCGTAGTACCTTTTGCTGCAAATAGACTCCTCCGACAAGATTCTGCCATGCTTACTCACATTAATAAGTACCTTACTAAGTACATAAGTTCATTGATTTCAATCAGGCTAACCATTAAAAAGATACCGCTCAGTGTCAGTATGAGTAACAGAATAGGGCCCATAGTTATTATTGATATACATGGTAACAACTGCAACATTTTCCTTTTCATTTTAAATGCACTGTTTCTTTATTAAAAGTAAATAGATTTTCTGATATTTGCTTTGAAAATACAGTGTTTCTTTCAAATATCAGCAATGGTCTTGGGAACCCTTCCTTGCCTTTGAACTGCACAGAGAGGAGTATTAATCTGATAACTGCAATTTGCATAATTATGATTCTCTTCTCTAAAGAATCAGTTTACTGCAGAAGTGGACAAATAAGTTCACATTTCTGTTGACAAGTATGGACTTGTTATGTGGTTCTTCATGATATGGTTATATTATTCATCTACTTAAGTCTGCTTTCACATTTACCTTTGCTGAGAGCAGTATAAACCCAGCAAGGGAACAATGAAAACATATTGGTCATCGGTTTTAAGTTACCTCCTTCAGATGTCTTTCTTTCTCCCTTTTAATGGCACGGTGCATCCATTTTATTTTTACTATTACAGACAAATGCACATGGTTAGCTATTTCCTCTGGATTTAAAATCACTTGGTCCAGAGATGTAAAGGGGCTGGTGTCATTTATCAATAGAAACTTTCTGAAAGTTTGTATTCCTCAACTGGAGAAGCCACTTTGGATCGATTTATGCCCAGTGTATCCATCCCATATTGATTTCCTTCTGAGCAGATGGTCCTTGTTGCCAAAGGGAAGTCAATGTAGCAGAATTTTAAAGCCAGCTTAATGGCTGATTGATGTTTAAAAGTAAAAACAAAAACAACAAAAAACCCCACACCCAAGAACCATATTATATCTTCCATAAAAGCAACCCCCTTTTTGCTTCTTTTATCTACTAAGAATGTTGTCTTCCAAATTCTCTTCTTTATTTAAAAGAATAATTCCTGATTGCACACAGTTGGTAAAAGGGTTATTCTTCAAATGCAATTTACTTCTGTGTAGCCTTCATCATGCAGATGATATGAATGACACCTGGAGGAACCACTTAAGAGGCACAGGGTTGGGAGTGATGTAAATGAAGTTTATCTTTAGCAGAAAGAACAATTGGGAGTCTACCATAGACATCCGAATACTGCCATTCTGGATCAGATCAGTATGGAGCAATGGGTTAATCTAGTCTAGCACCCTGTCTCCCACAGCAGCTAGAATGGATTTTTCGGTTTGTTGGCAACTCTGAAAAATTAGGGGGGAAAATATTTTGGGTCAAACAGAAAACTGTTTTTGAAACCCGGTGAATCAAAATGTTGAAAACAAATATTTTGTTCATCCTCAAATGAAACATTTTTATTTCAACCTTTAAAAAATTTTTTTTTAATTTTTTATTTTTTTAAACCAAAACTATTTTGGTTAAATTGAGAAAACATACACAAGTTTTGGTGTTGCCAAATCTTCATTCTTCACCGACAAAATGTTTTATGCAACAAATTTCACCTAGCTGTAGTGGATAGTACCTGCTCCTTCAGAGGCAGAAATCCTGCAGTAGGCTATTATGGGGTACATCACAGAATGCTCCCTCCTAACCTCCAGTAGCTAGAGGTCAGTTTATGCCCCAAAGCTTGAGAATTTATATCCCAAAATTCTTTTTTGTAATATTTGCTGTTATACTTCTACATATACTTGTTATCCATATAAATATCCAGTCCTTTTTCAATCTGGCAAAGCTCTTGGCATCCATCACATCTTGTGGCAATGAGTTCCATGGGTGAGTTGTGCATTTTGTGGAAAAATATTTCCTCTCTCTGATATCACTTGACATGCACTTGTATCTGGTATCATACTCTCATCCCAGCACAATGGAGACCCTACCACTATCAGAATGAAATAAATTGGCCTTCACCTCATTTCCACTCCCCATTCGCAGTTATTGCTATTTTAACTTTTCCCAATGATAGATCCTTGTGGAGCAGCTGCTATATTGTAAGTGAATATCTCAGTGGACCCAAAAGCAGCAGCAGAACTTCATTGACCGGCCTGCCAGTCACTAGGCAGCACAGAGGGACACTGTCAAACAGTGAATGAATATCTTCATATAGATCCAAGATGAGTTATGGCACCCATTTTCAATTGTTGGCCTTGAACCGCTATGCTCCCTGAATTTTTTCTTACCAGCAGAGTGTGCTCATGAGTCAGTGTTGCCCGATGTTGCTCAGAATTTCACTAGAACTCTGCATATTGTTCTTTCAGGAACAAAGGAGTTACCATATCTGACCAAATCAATTGTCTCTCCAGTTTGGTACCCTACCTTCAGCAGCAGCCTACAACTTCAGAGGAAGGTAAAATCAGACGTAAAGGCATTTAAACAGCTATCCAGAACTATATCATGAGGAATTGCAATTGACCACCAGGTTATTCTTTAAAGGACAAAAACTGTTAGATTCTATAGTATTTATCCTAGCTTGAATAATTGCATATGTTATCCCAATTTCTACAGTAGATACCTAATCCTTTCTTTGAGTTCTCTGATGCCTGAATTTACTAACGAGCAATCTCCCGTGTGGCAGATTTATGCCTTATGCCTAATTCGCTTTTCAGTTTTTTTCATGGTGTATGTCTCTATTGTGTCTCGTGTTTCAGAAAACTAGAAATAAAGTGGAAGAAAGAACAAGTAATCTTCAGCTTTCCTCCCCATAGACATCCCAGACCAGATGCACTGTTTTTATCGAGTCAGTCCTCAGAAAGGATTATCTTTAAAATACTTCAAAATCATAATAATTAAATGCATGATGTATTTAATGCGATAGTCTGCAATTTGACGCTCCAGTTTTCCTAAGGAGCATTCAGGTTCCAGATGGAATCATTAGAGAACAAATTATTCTATTTATCTTCTAAACAGGTATAGCATGGGCAGGAGAGATGCAAGTTTCTTAGGGCTTGATTAACAAAGGGACTTCGATACCTAAGTGCCATTTGAGGCACTTAAACCCCAGAATCAGGCCCCTCTGAGATTCACAAAATCCACACTCATCTGTCACCAAACCCTGTAGGTACCTAAACTCGCTCGGCCCTAAATTTTTGCTGTAAGCATTCCCTGGGTGCCTATGTTTCTGTCTCTGAGCATACACATTGCTTCCTTCCTCTAAGTGTCCTGATGTCTAGCCCCTGGAGCAATTCACATCCTGTGAGAAAATCCTTGTTCCTCCATTGAACTCAACTGTGGGACTTGACCCAGTAAACATGCTCTGACCTCACCTACTGGGTCTGCCCCATAGGTAAGCTACTACAAAACAGCAAAGATGGAGGAAGCTGTCCATCATAACTTCTAACCTAGTGGTCAGGCTACTCAGCTGGGGTGGGAAGACCCCTGGTTCAAGTCCCTGCTCCATCTGAGAAGGAGAAAGGGATTTCCCACATCTTATGTGAGTGCCCCAACCACCAGCCTAGAGGATATCCTGGTGTTGGGGTCTCTCCTGTTGAAGCCTGTTCCACTGTGAACAAATAATGAAGGAATCACTGGGTCAGAGAGAGAGCAAGCAGGAGTGACTCTGTAGCCTGATGGTTCAAGCACTCACCTGGGTGGTGGGAGATCTTGGTCCAATGACTTTTTACAATGATTTATTCACAGTGGAACAGCTTCCACTGAGCGGAGGGAGGGAGGAAGCTGCCCCCCTCCCCTGTCACAATATCCTGATGCCCAGTGGCTAAGGCATGCATCTGAGAGGTGGCAGATCCCTGTTCAAATCCCTTCTGTCCCTCAGGAGAAAGACTTGAACTGGATATCTGCATCCCAGGTGAGTACCCCAATCACTGGGCTAAAAATTTCAAGGGAGGGCCTCCTGCTTCTCCCCTGGCCTGGCCTCTTGCTGAAACAGCACAGACACCTAACCCCAAGAGAGGCTTTGCAGCAGAGAATTCCAGGCAGAGAGAAATACCTCCCTGTGTCTATCTCCGTGAGAGAGGCAGGGCTTAGCACACACCCCTCAGCTTGGCGCCTCCCATTGGCAAGACAGAGAAAGGACAGGAGGAGAAACAGCCATAGAGATGTGAACAGACAATGGCAGAGCTGCAGAGGGCAGCCCAGTCTCTGAGTCTCTAATTTAGTGCTGTTCAGAAACAGAATTTCTACTTCATGGGAAATTCTGATATCTTTAGGGTGACCAGATGTCCGGTTTTTAAAGGGACAGTCCCATTTTCAGGACTTTTTCTTATATAGGCACCTATTACCCTCCCACCCCCCATCCCGTTTTTTCACAGTTGCTATCTGGTAACCCTAAATATTTTGACATTTGTTACTAACCCAAACCAGGACAGAAAGCTCAGGTATCAACAACTGGCACAGGATGAAAGGTTCTGAAATGTTTTGATTTGGCAAAGTCGCCATGCAAAATGTTGATATTTTCAACAGAAACCAAACATTTCATATCAATTTGAAAGTAATCTTATTGAAAAGTCAGCATTTTTGACATTTTCAACATTTTGAAACTGAACATTTCATTTTGAATTTTCCCATTATAAAAATCAGAAAATGTCATCCAAAAATCAGCATTTTCCCATGAAAATCTCAATGCCTACAGAACCTCATATTTTGTCAGGAAAATGTATGGTTTCAGTGTTTTGACCGGCTTCTGTCCTAATTGAGCAACTATCCTCTAGACCATACTGCCTCTCAAACATCAGACCTCAAACTTCTCATTGACTTGTGGGAGAGAAACCTACACAAACTCCAGGTTCTGGTATTATCACACAGGGCTGGTCTTCCACATATTTTGAAGAAGAGCAGGTACCACTTATCGGGAAAGGTAGTTTTCTCAATTTCCCTAATTTCTCACCTGCCCCCACATGAAATTTTCCATACTCAATCCCTGATCAGAATGTTGGTACTAACTTCACCCCCAATGTGTCTTAGTGGTTACAGCACTGGACTGAGACACAGGAGACCTGGATTAAATTCCTGGTTCTGCCATTGGCCTGCTATGTAACCTTGTGCAAGTCACTTCTGTTGCTGTGCTTTGGTTTCCCCATCTATAAAATGAAGATAATGATGCCGGCCTCCTTTGTAAAGCACTTTGAGATACACAGACGAAATGCTGTATTTAAGAGCTAAGTACTACTATTCCGATAGAAAGAAAGAAAAATGTATACTCTGAGCTATTCTCAGTCCCAGAACTTTCATTGCCAAGTAAATACACCTGATAAGGGGGAACTATATATTTTTCATATTGCTAGGACTAATTTTGTCCCTAGGTGAAAGTATAAGCAAAGTTTAAGAGCTCAGAATTGAGCAAGGAAATCTCAGCCTGATATCATCTCTGATTCTTGCTTCAAGCCCTGCTACTTTCACTACCTGTATGTGCTTTGCCAGCTGAACACCTAACACACCCAAGTGGGCATGACCTTTCTGTTCAGACACATGCTATCATCAACAAGGACAATAGAAAATGGCAAGTGGTAATTTTTGATATATATTCTGTATGCTTGGTGGGTTGGCTATGGCCCATTTTACTTCTCAATGAAATAAGTGGTCCTGAACACACATTCATTTCTGGTAATTGCTTTCTGTTTGCATCACCGAGCTGGAGGAGGTATTTTTTGTTTTGTTTTTCTGCTGAAGTTTATAAGGCTGCCTAATGGAGTTGTTTCTCTTTCTTTTTACTTAACTTAAGGTTTTGGGCATTGTTCTAGCAGAAGGAGCTGAATAGATGGTGTATCACCATGTCCAGGTTACACCTGAGTGGACAGCTGGCAGCATGATGCATTTTGGGAGAGGTAGCAGTTTCCATGTCAGATTCAAACCTACGAACTTCTCACTAGTATTAATCGTGCTTATTACAGTAGAGGCCAGGACCAACCCAGAATGGCATCCCATTGTGCAAACACAAAGTAGTAGACAGGCCCTGCCCTGAAGAGTTTCGAGGTAAATAGACAAGACAAACAAAGGGTATGGGGAAAAGGCTAGACCACACTGACTAGTATCACAGGTTCTGTTTTCAAAGGTTTAGATTCTGACTTTGGGTACATACCAGAGCCAGGGGTAAACTGTACTACCTTAGCAGGCTTTGCACCTGAGACACAACTGTGAGACACAATTCCCTCCCTGTTCCCCCCCTTCTCAGGGGAGTCAGTTATTTCACCTTCTGTAGAGCTGTTTATTCATGCCTCTGCACCCAAGCAGCAAGTAGGGGAAGGTGGAGCCAGGCGCCTCCCACTCTTCTCCCCCCACTTCGGCTTTCTCGCTCTTAGTGATGACTGCCCTTCCTCTCTCTACCCTGGCTGGAGTCAAAATCTGAGTCAGTGCATAAGTGTGTATGGTGGGGAAGGACATCTCCATCACATTCCTCATCACATCCAAGGCCTGTGACCATCTAGCTCAAAGAGGGTAGAAAAGGTGATCCCCTTGCAACACCTAATTTGAAGAATCGTTTTCATAGTCTTCAGTAAACCCTTGGTCTGTAATGTTATTGGGCTACAACCCAAAGTCTTTATTCAGCTTTTTCCTCGGTATAAAGATTGCAGGATTTGGTGCACATAATGGTAATACTAGACCTGTTTCATATGTGTATAGCAACTTTAATCCTTTCAAGGGTACTCCGGAATATGAGTCACTTTACCCGTCTGTCAAATGCAGTTTCTGTTTGGTGGGTCTCAGTAAAGCTAAGCAGGAACTGAAGAAGAATACTGTAGTCAACAAAATCTACAGGGCAGTTCTCATTAGCAGAATGTAATGGTAGCACTTGTATTTTACCCAGAACCCTGAAGTTATGGCTGGATCTCTTGAGAGTAGTGCTGTGGGGTCCTTAATGGCTTTGATCTTGGTAGGTTTCTCTATATTCCATTCAAAGTATGATGCCTCTGGTAGCTTTTAGCACTCTCTCCAGATCTGAAAGTGGATCTTTCATTCACATTCTGACCTACCATGTCCCTACTTAGCTCAGCTCCATAGCAAGTGATTTTAGCATTTTTACCTGAAAGATCCATAGTGCCTGACTCCATCTGCCATGGGCTGTACAGAACCCACTGACAGATGCAATAAACAAAAACATTATTAATTAGTTCATTGGTGCACATCATATTATTTTCTCAGTTAACCTCTAGTGTTTCCAAGTCCAAAGTGAAGACATAGCTGATGTAGTCCCTTTAAAAGAAACTGCCTCCACAAACTCAGAAACCACTGATCCATGTCCTATGTCGCAAGGTATTCCAAATAAAAACCAAAGGTGTCTAATTCAACATACAGCATAAATAGTTCTCTACTGTGAAACAAGCCTCCTCATACCAGAACATTTTTTTATTGTTTTGGCTGACTGGTGAAAATTTCTCCTCTCAAAGGAATAATTGTGATGTACTGAGATACATCTGTATGATTGATTCTCACTAAATGCCTGATCCAAATTCCACTGAAGTCAAAAGTATGTGAGGTGCTGAGGTAACTTGGCACAGAGATTGCCCTTTCATGTGTATACAGCACCCTAGCACAAAGGACAGCCAATCCCAGCTTGTGTTCCCAAGGGAGTTCAGAGGAAAAGGATAGTGAGTCTGGACCAAAAGTCCATAGATTCCCTTACAAATATCATATAACTGAGATAGATACAATGTAATATGATACAAGGTAATTCTGCACTATTTATCTGCCTGAATGAAGACCAGGTAAAATACATCTCCCTCACAGGCAAGGTAGGTTCCCTTCCAGACATAAAGGTACATGGACTTGAGCAGTAATTGAAGTCACCGTGGAAAACCAAGGGAGCAAAACTGAATGAAACATAAAAGGAAGGAAGAGTCACACATCAAGGGCTGACATAATGAATGGTGTAGTTGAAGGGAAGTCATATGGAAGAATGCAGCAGCTAAGAAAATAGAAAGATCAGCAGAAGGCAAAACATCTAAGGTGCCTTTCAACTTAATGATATCTAAGGTACTGATGTAGCCCTCATTACTGTAGTATCGGGGTACCTCACAATACCCCACTTGGTAGGGAAGCTCTATTATCCCCATTTTACAGATGAGAAACTGACAGGCAAAGTGACTTACCCAACATCACACAGGAAGTCTTTGGTGAAAAAGGGAATTAAACCCACTTTTCCTCATGTACTAGGCTGCTCCCTAGCCACCAGACCAACTTTCTTCTCTGAAACTGACCCCCACCCACTGTTATTTCAATACACAGCCTCCCCCTCTGTAGTTAGTTACATTACTGTTGCACCAGAAGGTTGCTAGAGCTTGCTTATTCATGGGTTTGGTGAGTGTACCTATTGGGTTCCGGGAAGTGGGCGGGCGTAAGCCCGCCCACTGCTAAAGGATCCCCCCCCAGCCTAAGGGGAGGATCCACAGGGCCTGGAACTCAAATAATTACGGGGGGACAACTAATGTAAAAACAGGGACAGGAGTGTGGTCAAAGGGTCAAAAGAAGAGAACCAGACGGGTTTTGGTGAGTGTAGCGAGGCAGTTACCCCGCTCCTAGAAAAAAGGCTAGGCTGATTGGGGAAGCAGCCACAGCTGGGGACATGCCCAAATCAGGCCACACCTGGCCCTGTTATAAGGGCTCAGGGAGGAGCTGAGAGTCTCTCTCTAGTTATGCAGAGAGAAGGATCTAACTGCTGGGGAGAAAAGGGTACCTGGAGCAGAGCAGGGCTGGGGAAAGGCCAGAGGAGCTGGGGAGCTCTAGGCTGGCAACTCCCCAGGCTGAGGCCTTGGTAAAGGTCTATGCAGGTACCGGGGCTGGGAGGTGCAGCCCAGAGATAGGCAGAGGCAGCTGGTCCAACCTCCTTGCCAATGATGAGTGGCCATGACAAACTGAAGTTTGCCCCAGTGAGTGGGGGCTAGATGATGACTGGTAGTAGCTGCTGAGACAAGGTGGGTGAGAGGGTTGGGGGTTCCCCTGGGAGGGGAGACCCAGAGCATGGTGGGGTACTGCTGGGATGACACCCCAAGGTAAAGGTCACCAGGGTATGGGAGGGACACGGGGGCCAGCGGCAGGGGGGACACCAGCCAGTAGGAGGTGTTCCATATGCTGGAGAGCTAATTCCCGAGACAACCAGCAGGAGGCGCTGTGGCAGTGAGTCAAGCTTTGCTGCAGTGAGGAAAGTCCTAGGTAGTCCCACTGCTCCAGTGCAGCGTCTCGCGTGCCTAGAATAAGCACATACATAAGTGCTTGCATGACTGGGCCTAAGTTGCTATATTGTGTGCACAGCTATTCTGAGCTAAATCATGCTCACATTACTGACACTCATATTACCATCCGCATTCCCCATTGCCCTGTGACAAAGTCAGGCCAAGCAGCTCCCAGACAGTGGTGGTATACTAGTCCTGGAGTGCTAAAGGCCCTTTTCCCTGTGACCTGATAAGAGGTAAGCTCAGGTCAACAAGGGACACTCGAGTCCAATTAGGGTCTGCCTGTGACCTTTAACTGCCCCCCTTTCTAGTGAGAGAGAAGGAGAGATAAGCTGCAGCAGGGCTAGGAGCAGTATGGGGAAAAGGCTTCTCCTGGGAGGAGGCTACTCTTCTCCTTCCAGAAGAAGCAACTGAACGAATGGACTGTTTGGGAAAGGACTAGCACCCAAAGGCCAGCATTACAAGCCAACACCTTGGAGAGGGGGCAGGGAGAAGTATTTTCTTTTTGTGTTATGAATTTGTTTCTTTTTGTTTGGCTGAAGAGTACTGCTTGGGCCTACCCCGAGGTCCACCTTCTACACACTGCAAAATAAAACCCGACTGGGGAATAAAAACTCTCCAGAGTGGGAATGATTTGCTCCAGGCCCCTCCACCACCAGAGGGAGAAACACTGAGCCTGGCAAGGTGGTGGAGACTCCTTGCCACAGCCCCCATCTGTTTATTCTTTCATTCGTGTATGCATGTTGTTAGTTACCAAGATTGTAAGCTCTTTGGGGCATAGAGTGTCTTTTTCACTACATGTGGGTATAGCACAGGGGTTCTCAAACTGGGGGTTGGAACCCCTGAGGGGGTCGTGAGGTTATTATATGGGGGGTTGAGAGCTGTCAGCCTCCACCCCAAGCCCTGCTTTGCCTCCAGCATTTATAATGGTGTTAAATATATTAAAAAGTGTTTTTGATTTATAAGGAGGGGGTCGCACTCAGAGGCTTGTTATGTGAAAGGGGTCACCAGTACAAAAGTTTGAGAACCACTGGTATAGCACCTAGCCCAATAGTGTCCTGATTTCTTATTACAGTCTCTAGAGTCTATTCTAATACTCAAAATAAATAACAGTGATTATAACAACAATAAGTTTTCTGCTTTAGGGGATGAAGCAGATGAGAGCAATGTTGGTCCAACCAATGACCAAGAAATGAGTGATAGGGAGCCTCTTAAAGAAAGGAAGAACTGATAGCTTGTAGATGAGAAATCTGAGCTGAGGCGCGAGGAGCCTAATCATTGTAATGGGAATTCACAAAACAATTCTCTGTTTCAGTGTTCAATATTGTTTTATCCTGAACGTTTTGCTAGTAGGAAGAAGCCCTTTTCCTTGATAGCAACATCGCACACAACTGGCCCAAGTGAGTATGCCGAAGGGAGAATTGTTCAGCTGACACTGGAAGTTCAAGTTTTAGCTGTCAGAAGAAAAATCAATGCTGGGCCAGACTTTTGCTTTGTCAAAGTGAAAGTCCCTTCTTGTGTTGCAACATGAGAGATAGTAATAATGACTAGTTTAGAAAGAATACAGCCCTGGGCACTAAATAGCACAGAACAAATACATTCTGTCTCTAGAGACCAGTTGAGCTCATAAGTAACCTAGTTTTGTTAGTATTCGATTC